TGTATGTCTCAACTTAAATTTACTTGCATCTCTAAGTAAACTGTTGGCTTATCAGCAATGGTGTCAGCACCAATCCAGCACACTCTCTTAAATTAACTATGAGGCAAAAAGAAAAAAAGGTCAGCCTTTACGAAGTACTGTAAATCGTATCTACCCTGATGCCTAACATTATATATACAGGCAGTCCCCGAGTTACGCGGATCCGACTTATGTTGGATCCGCAGTTACGAACGGGGATTTTTCTCGCCCCGGAGGACTGGAGTGGCGGGACGCCTGGTCCCACCGCCCACCTCCTCCGGGGCGAGAAAAGCTGCTCCCCATCTCCCTGGTCTGCGGGGGGAGCCAGCAGACCAGGGAGATGGGGAGCAGCTTTTCTCGCCCCGGAGGACTGGAGTGGCGGGACGCCTGGTCCCACCGCCCACCTCCTCCGGGGCGAGAAAAGCTGCTCCCCATCTCCCTGGTCTGCGGGGGGAGCCAGCAGACCAGGGAGATGGGGAGCAGCTTTTCTCGCCCCGGAGGACTGGAGTGGCGGGACGCCTGGTCCCACCGCCCACCTCCTCCGGGGCGAGAAAAGCTGCTCCCCATCTCCCTGGTCTGCGGGGGGAGCCAGCAGACCAGGGAGATGGGGAGCAGCTTTTCTCGCCCCGGAGGACTGGAGTGGCGGGACGCCTGGTCCCACCGCCCACCTCCTCCGGGGCGAGAAAAGCTGCTCCCCATCTCCCTGGTCTGCGGGGGGAGCCAGCAGACCAGGGAGATGGGGAGCAGCTTTTCTCGCCCCGGAGGACTGGAGTGGCGGGACGCCTGGTCCCACCGCCCACCTCCTCCGGGGCGAGAAAAGCTGCTCCCCATCTCCCTGGTCTGCGGGGGGAGCCAGCAGACCAGGGAGATGGGGAGCAGCTTTTCTCGCCCCGGAGGACTGGAGTGGCGGGACGCCTGGTCCCACCGCCCACCTCCTCCGGGGCGAGAAAAGCTGCTCCCCATCTCCCTGGTCTGCGGGGGGAGCCAGCAGACCAGGGAGATGGGGAGCAGCTTTTCTCGCCCCGGAGGACTGGAGTGGCGGGACGCCTGGTCCCACCGCCCACCTCCTCCGGGGCGAGAAAAATCCCCGTTCGTAACTGCGGATCCAACATAAGTCGGATCCGCGTAACTCGGGGACTGCCTGTATATCTGCCAAAAATACAGAGTATAAACCAGAGAAGCATCTATCATGGTTTCATGCCGATGTTAAAATTATATAAAAATTCTTAACCAATAACGATACCAATTAGGCATATTTTTATTACCTATAAATGAGATATCAATAAATAAATTCATTTCCTAATTTATGTTTCCACTTAGCTCACTTTTGAACTGACATGAGCCACCTATCAAATTGCAGAAGTTTAGGCAGGAATACAGTTATCCTCAATTAGCTTGTCATTCAATTCTTGGAATGCCATAGCAAAAAACAACTGATAGTACATACAATTGCTTACTCATTCTAGGATCTTACAATTTTAAACTCTTTGGTCATAATTAGTAAGGCTTCTGAAGGGGTGAATCACAGAATCATAGAATAGTAAGACTGGAATGAACCTTGAGAAGTAATAGGGTACTCGAAAGAAGTCTAGGGGGTACATCAGCACTACTGAAATTTGGAGAAATCTGAATTTTTGTTTTAAGTTTTACAGCACTTTATTATTTTTATACTTTTTACACCCAAAAATTTCATCGCCTGTCCAGCTGCGATTAACTTGTTTAAACAAATGTGTTGAAATGGTAGAAAAAATTGTGGTGTGTCTGAAAACTATAGATACTGGGGGTACTTATAATATTTTAAGGGATACTTTATAGAAAAAAAAGGTTGAGAAACACTGATCTAGACTATCCCTGACAGGTGACATCAAATCTGCTCTTAGAAACCTCCAGTGACAGATATTCCACAGCCTCCTCAGGCAATTTTTTCAGTGCTTAACCTCTCTGACAGGATTTTTTCTCTAATGTCCTGCCTAAACCACCATGGTTGCAATTTAAGCCCATTGCTTCTTGTCTTATCCTCCAAGGTTAACGAACAATTTTTCTCCTTCCTCTCTGCAACAACTGTTTGGAACAGGAAACTTTAAACTATTATCGAGTACAGCTGCTTTTATTCTCCAGACTAAACATACCCCATTTTTTCAATCTTCCCTCATAGGTCATATTTTCGATATCTTTAGTCATTGTTCTCTAGACATTCTCCAAATTGTCCATAACTTTCCTAAAATGTGATGCTCAGAACTGGACACAAGACTTCAGTTGAGGCCTAATCTGAGCAAAGAAGAGTGGAATTTCTTCTGCTAATATGTCCCAGAAGGATGTTTGTTGTTTTTGCAACAGCATTGCACTGTTTACTCATATTTTGCTTCTAATCCAGTATTAGACCCAAAACCTTTTTTGCACTACAACTTCCTATGCAGTAATTTCCCATTTTGTATGTGTGCAAGTGCCTGGTCCTTCCTAAATGGAGTACTTTGCATTTATCCTTATTGAATTTCATTCTATTATTTCAGACCATTTCTCTGGTTTGTCATAATACAGTTACCTACAGTTGTCCAAGATAACTGTATTATGATTTAGAAACCAAATTAACATATGCCACCAAAGCTTCAAAACATGCCTATTGTCCCCAAGGCATTTTAGTTGAAGGTACTTTACAGAGCAGCATGAGTGTATATTCTCTTATTCTACATCTATTCATATAGTAGATGATTCAATAAGCCTTTTTAAACTACTTCCAGACATTGGTACAAATGCACTAAGTGAAAACTATAAATAATAATTAAATGTTGCAGAAAGCAATTCAGTACCAAGTCCTGAATAAATAAATATGCATTGAAAACAACATTCTGGCTAAATAATTATATACCAGCTCCGAAATCCTCACAAAGAAAAACTCCCAGTGACTTAATTTAAAGTAAATTCAAGTATTACATCTGCTCCTATGTTCTTCTACCAATTTTTTGTGGCTTTACAGGCACATTTTCCGATGTTTGTATTTGTTTTTCTTTCTCCTGTTACTTTGCAAAAGACTCTAAACAATGGAGAGCTGCCGCATTCTAATGGAGGGCAGGTATGCTGGGCTCTGGGTAGACAGTTTTCTCTTCCCTGAATAAACAGGGCTGAGCCTAGTGCAGCATAATCAGGCAGGCTCCGAGGGCCAACTAAAAGCTTACTGGGAGCAGCATGCTTATCAGAGCACCTGTAGCCCATTAAGGCCTTCTGGGGCTTGTTAAGGCCTCCCTGCAGAGAGGTGGGAAGCTCAAGATCTGACAGTGAAGAGTACTGAGTGAGAGCTGAGAACTGCAAGCAAGGAAGAGTGCTGTGGAGGAGCAGGATGGACTTACTCAGGTACCAGAGGAAAGGTACTGGGAGGGATAATTTGGGGAAGTGGTCAAAGGAAGAAGTTGCCCGACTGGGAGCAGAAGAAACCTTCTCTGTTGCAGATGCCTTAGGGTCCCTTGGCCAGAACCTGGAGTAGTGGGCAGGCTCACGTTTCTTCCAACCCTCTCTAAGTCACTACAGAGTCTCCCCCTGAGAGAGGAGAACAGGACTATGGAGGGGTTTTCACTGCAAACCGTGGACTACCCTGTGGTGAGTGTGGGCCAGTAGGCTATGACCCTTGCCTTTAGAAAAGAAGAGGCTTGTGTGGAAGGTCACAGCCAGCCTCCAAGGCAAACACTATCCCCCAGAAGCGCAAGACCCTCAGGGCACGGCCAGGGCTTTGCCACACTAGCTATACAGAGGAAAAAGGGAAGCTTACTATATACAAATCGTTCTCAAGTTCCCAAAGTAAAACTGAAAAACTGAGAAATACTTTTCCTCTAATGACTCTTAGCCTATGTGTACACTACCGCAGAAAGTCGACCTAAGATATGCAACACCAGCTACATGAATAACATAGCTGGAGTTGATGTACCTTAGATTGAGTTACTGTGGGGGTTACATAGTGGTGAGCCAACAGGAGAAACTCTTCTGTTGACTTACCTTTCCCTTCTCATCAGGGGTAGAGTAGAGTAGTTGACTACAGAGTGCTCTGCGGTCAGTTTGGCAGGTCTTCACTAGACCTGCTAAATCAACCACTCTTGGATTGATCTCAGAGCAAATTGTACATGTAGCCTGTACTCATAATAATAGTCAGTATGTCATAATCAGGCAGAACTGTGATTTTAAGTTTACTGGGACCCCTTATTATAAGTGATATGATTAGCGAGCTAAGGTTGCCTGATATTTCCCATTATATTGTAACTCTGCCAGATTTTAACTGTTCAAATTGATTCTGGTCTCACTTAAACCATTCTTCACTGGTGTAACTTTACGGGCTTCCATGGAGTTATTTCAAATTTACAATGCTGTGAGAGCAGAACCAGGCACCATTTATCTGTTTTTTGCAAAACACACTTTTCCTTTCAAATCCTATGGAAACAATAAAGGAACTCCTTTTTACAAAAAAACATGTTTTTCACATCTGTGTTGCCATGCCAGACATTTTTATTGCTATTTCTTGACTAGTAGCATATTTCTGGTACATATCTCTAAAATGCAAGTTTAGCTCTACCACCACCCCCGGACATATTTTTAAAGATTTACAAATTGTTTTTTTCTGAATAGGTTCATTCCAGTTTTCTGGGCTGTAACTGCTTTTAAAAAAATTCAAAACCCTGACTCTTCCCTTTTAAGGTCATGAAGAGATTTCAAAAGCTTAGCTGAATACAGACTTTATAGCACATTATTCCACTATTTTTTCTAGTTAAATAGTAAGCAAAAAATGTTCCATGTAAATGCAGTGCAACATTTAGCTAAAATCTCAGGTAAATAAAAATAAACTGCAAGAACTTTGTTAATTAAACCACATATATTCTGTACTACTAACAACAAAGCCTTTCTATGCTCTTATTATTATTATTATTATTAATTTATGATTCAGGCATTATTCAGATAAACATCAAGAAAATTATTTTTGATTGTAAATAAAAGGTACTAACTTCTCCAGGAAATCTTCCACATATAAACTTTGCTTCCATTGATCCATAATTGAAATAGCCATCATTTTTTGTGTTGAAACAACTGAAACTAGAACAGTAAAACAAATACAAATAGTTGAGAGAAAAGTCATGTTAAAATTAGTTTAACTTTTACAAGTAAGCCAGGCTCCTTCAGAAGAAGCAATGTTCTCAATCTCCCTTCAGAGATTGTGAGAGAAAGTTAACTTGAAATAAATAAGAAATTATAAATGTTTTCATATTATCTACCTCTGTGCTTAAAATATTCTCTTTTTCGTGTACCAAACCTCTGTATTAGCCTTCAAATCTCTCCATAAAACTTTTCAGCAATCTTCTATCACTACTCTCCTTTCCAGAAAAATCTGTGTCTCCTTCGTACCTGACTCTTAGGGTGTGTCTAAACTACACCCCTCTGCCGACAGAGGGATATAGATTAGGCACATCGCTATTGCAAATCAAGTAGTGGGTGGAAGGGCGCACACAGGCCAGCTTAGCATGACCACACTGGGTGGCTCAGTGGTATTAAGAGGGGGTGGTCTGCGGCTCCTGCAGAAGGGGGTGCCCAGGCTGCGCTGCCCATCCCTGGTAGTGCTCCTGGGGCGTGGTGCTGGGGCCATGCGCAAGGGAGAGTGGTTTGGGCCAAAAGGTTCACTTACCTGGGCCAGTGGCTAGTCCTCAGCTGTCCACTCCCTTCCTGCCCCCAATATAGCTGTGCCCCACACTTGCTGTCCCCAGTGGTCACTCCACAATGTAGGGTCACTCCAATCTGCTCCCTCTTTTTCCATGTTATGGAAAATAATCAAATTCCAGGCACATCCCATTTTCCTAGCACAACCAAATCCTGACTTTGATTTAAGGTAAGAGAAGAGGAATCTGCATACCAAATTTGGTGGTCCTAGCTGTTACCGTTTACGAGTTCTTGAACCAATGGACTCGCAGACAGACAAACACACAAATCTCCAATACATATATCTATAAATATAGATATAATACCTCTTGTCCATGGCCTCCTATACTTATCATCAGCAATGATTCCAGTATGATGATAATTTTCATCTCGATGTAAACAGGGAGGAACATGAAATGATAACCGATCAATAGAAAACTTCTGTCTCGCCACATTCTGCTCAAGAAAAACAGTAATATATAATTATCAGCTATTTTGTTCTACTTACGCGGATCCGACTTATGTCGGATCCGCAGTTACGAACGGGGCTTTTCTCGCCCCGGAGGACACGGACTGCGGGACCTTGCGGTCCTGCCACCCGTGTACTCCGGGGCAAGAAAAGCTGCTCTGTGTCTCCCTGGTCTGCAGACTAGGAAGACGCGGAGCAAAGCCGCGGAGGGGCTCGGGCAGCCGGGCATCCCAGGCGCGCCTGGGCTGTCCCGCTGCCGGGGCGTCCTCAGAGGCTTTGCTCCCGGTGTCCCTGGTCTGCTGGGGACCGTCTCCAGCAGACATGGGACACCGGGAGCAAAGCCGGAGAGGCGGAGGGGCGCTGGGGTATAAGACGAAACCCTATCTTTTAACTAAAAAATTAGGGGGTTGTCTTATACGCCCAGTAGCCTTATACGCCGGAAAATACGGTACATATTGTGAGTAATGATGGAACAACTGGAAACCTACAAAGAATCTCAATTTTATGGAACCAGATTTTTAGCCCTTGATCTCTGCTTGCATACCTACAAAACTACATTTACACCTACTTGCAGCTGTGCATTACATGTACAATTATCCATGAGTATATCAATACTTGTATATAGTCACTGAATTATATAGTGTGTGCACATGTGGAAGTTGGTTAGAGGCAATAGAAAATTACTCCTATTCTGTCTGCTGTAAATGCTAGTTCAAGTATGTCAGCACAAGGTCACAAAATTCTCCAACAAATCCTATTATTTTAATCCAAAATAACAAAGGAAAGCAGAGTAAGCATTTAAATAAACTGTATTTATATAGACACCATTTGAAACGTCTTTTAGACATGCTACTAATAACTTAAAATCCTCTGAAAATATTCTAACACTTAATGTTCAGCATGGCATCCTCAGTAACTCTTTATTTAGCACCAGATTTAATAGTTTCTTCTCAAACATGGTGCCACAGAAACCCACGAAGGAAAGCACAAATTTAATGGGGGTTGGCGGAAAGGACGATATGAGGAGCATGGAGGGGAGGGAGAAGAGTAAGGAAGAGATTCTGTAATAGCAGTTTGGAGTGATGAGCAGGAGAAAAACTTGTAATAGCATAGCTGAAGCTAACCTTCATACATGTCTTCCATGCATTAAGGATGGAGAGGGATGCTCTCCTGTTGACTCCAGCTACTCTTCTCATCCTGGTGGAATGGGAGAGCACTTGGAAATCGATTTATTGCGTCTAAGCCAGTGGTGGACAATAACCAGTTCATGGGCTGGATGCAGTTCGCCAGGGTTAGCCACTAGTGGGCTGCTGCCACTTTATCTGCATCTCTGTCCCCACAGCTCCCATTGGCTGTGAATCACCATTTCTGGCCAATGGGAGCTGCAAGAAGCAGTGTCCCAGTCCGTACCACTTCCACCAGTTCCCATTGGTTGGGAATGGTTGTTCTGCGGCCAATGAGAGCTGCAAGCACCCATCCCTGAGGAGATGTTGGTAAATAAAGTGGCAGCAGCTCGCAAAAGCTAACCCTGGTGAACTGTCTCATTCTTATTGCCCACCCCTAGTCTTAGCAGACACGATAAAATTGACTGCCAATGGATCGATTGCTGCAGTGTCAACCCATCACATAATGTAGACAAGGTCTTAGAGGCATTAAGTATTAGGGACTTTCCCACCACTCACACTTTAGAATTGCTCTCATTTTAGCAGCACTCAATGGGTGGGTAGGTTTATGATTTGGCATATTGTGTCTAGAAAGTTTAACTAATTAACAAAACTAATTTACAGTGGGACTAAGTGCTTCATAAGCAACACATTCAATAATATTTCACAACTGAAGAGAGGAAGGAAAACAAGACTTCATAATGTTTCTATGTTATAACTGATAAACTACAAAACTAATATGCTACTTGTAGAAAGAATTATGGCAACAAATGTTCCATGGGACTCAATTTTATTGAAAACATTATACAAAAATTAATACCTTTCCTGCTATTAAAGTATCAAAAGAGGATAATATAGTCTGGAAACACTCTTATACTGCCTATTAAAATGGAAAGAAAACTGGATTCCTTCTCAGAAAAAAAAGTTTTATGCTTTAAAAATTCAGGATGCTCTCCAAAATGAGCAATGATCAGGAAACTAGCTCTAAAACAATATCATAAGTGCAGCAGACCATCAAAAAGTGGATTCTGTTCAGTTTTGGAATGATTATGCTTGGATTTTATAGTAAAATACCATCAATTACTTCACTATAATATACCAGGGAGAGAAATAAGGTCTTGTTTCCAGCAACAGTGCCGTAAAAAGAGATAATTTAAGCAGAATCCTTACATAATTAGTTGCTTCATGTGATTTAAAAAATGTATATTGAACACTGTGTGTAATTATTCCCATTACGTTTCCTACAGAGCAAGGGAAGTGCAACAGTAAACCATACCTCATATAAATAGTCTACTGCATGATATTTAAGAGCTGCAAACATTATCTTCCTTGTTTGGTGATGTATTAAAAACTTCACTTGTCTGAAAGACATATAAAATATAAATTATTCAAAAATGTTTTGTAGCACACAAAACCTTTAAACAGAAATGCTGTTACCCCAGTTCAGTAGATTAACCTCTTTCCTTCTGCATGCACGTGTATATGCTATAGCAGACATTTTTATTAGAATAGTGTTTTACAAACTCTGGGGTACCTCCTCATTGGGGCTGCCAAGCAACCTGGGTGGGGGGGAGACACTAAATTGTTCTCGTCTCAGCTTTTTTATTTTTTTTAGAATAAAGCTCTACCTGTTATGGTTTCAAGAGTTACCTCTTAAAACATGAAGCAAGTAAGGTAAAGGTGTCTTCCTGGCACTGCAGAGCGTTGTTTCTGAAAGTGTTCTGTGGGAACACTTATAAAAACACATTAACTGGCCGCCCCAGTGTGTTTGCTTACCGGTGCTGCAGCCACAGACCCTCACGGCTCCCATTGGCTCTGTCTTGCTCTTTGAAGCCAAGCGGAGCAGCGGGAAGCAATGGCCCGGCCCACACCGCTTCCCACAGCTCTCCTTGGCTACAAAGGATGAAACGGAGCCAATAGGAGCCGCGAGGCTCCGTGGCCGTGGCGCTGGTAAGTAAACACACCAGGGCAGCCAGTTAAAGTGTTTCTCTAAGTATTCCTATGGAACACTTTCAGAAACACTGCTGTAGATAACCTGAATAATATTTTAAGGTTTAAACTGTCTAGTTAATTTCAAAAGATGATAATTCTAATGTCAATGGTGATATTTAACAATGTAGCTCTTTAAAGTATTTCATTGACCATCAAGGCATACAAGGACAGGAAGTTGTTTTCTGAAGCTCTATAACTGAAGAAGTAATAGTAAAATGTTTTTTTTAAGTACATCAGAAGCAGGAAGCTAGCTAAACAACCAGTGGGGCCGTTGGACAATCGAGATGCTAAAGGAGCACACAAAGATGATAAAGTCATAGCGGAGAAGCTAAATGAATTCTTTGCTTCAGTCTTCATAGTTGAGGATATTTGGGAGATTTCCAAACCTGAACCATTCTTTTTAGGTGACAAATCTAAGGATTTGTCCCAGATTGAGATGTCATTAGAAGAGGTTTTGGAACAAATTGATAAACTTAACAATAACAAGTCACTGGGAACAGATAACATTCCCCCAAGAACTCAAATGTGAAATTGCAAAACTACTGACTGTGGTTTGTAACCTATCCTTTAAAACAGATTCTGTATCTAATGATTGGAAGATAGCTAACGTGACACCAATATTTAAAAGGGTTCTAGAGGTGATCCTGGCAATTACAGACCAGTAAGTCTAATTTCAGTACAGTACTGGGCAAATTAGTTGAAACTATAGTAAAGAATAAAGGGCTAGATGGACCCTTTTTGACCCAGTATGGCTGTTCTTATGTAACACATACTGTAACCCATGAAACATCGTTGGGGATCATGTACTAAATTTATAAATGCTTTATGTATTACTGAAACAAAATACAGGACTATGTAGCACTTTAAAGACTAACAAGATGGTTTATTAGACGATGAGCTTTCGTGGGCCAGACCCACTTCCTCAGATCAAATAGTGGAAGAAAATAGTCACAACCATATATACCAAAGGATAAAATTTAAAAAAATGAACACACATGAAAAGGACAAATCAAATTTCAGAACAGCCATATATACCAAAGGATACAATTAAAAAAATGAACACATATGAAAAGGACAAATCACATTTCAGAACAGAAAGGGGATGCAGGGGGCGGGGGAAAGGAAGGTGAATGCCTGTGAGTTAATGATATTAGAGGTGGGGAAGGGTAGATGTCTGTGAGTTAATAGTATTAGAGGTGATAATTGGGGAAGCTATCTTTGTAATGGGTAAGATAGCTGGAGTCTTTGCTCAGCCCCCTGCAGAGAGTGTCGAATTTTAGCATGAATGCCAGTTCAGAGGATTCTCTTTCAAGTGCAGATTTGAATGTCTTCTGAAGTAGGATGCAGGTGAGTAGGTCATTGAGACAGTATCCTTTCTGGTTGAAATGGCAAGCAACTGTTTTTTCTTTGTGATCCTGTCTAATGTCTGTTTTGTGGGCATTGATTCTTTGGCGAAGTGTCTGAGACGTTTGTCCAATGTACATAGCAGACGGACACTTTCGGCACATGATAGCATAAATTATATTTCT